AAAGGTGCACAATGTTTTACAGATTATTTTCTTTAGGAAGCAGCCACAACCTTAATAGAAAAGCCTGACCCCTTCTAGCATGGTGTTGAGAAGGTGATAAGTTGAAGCCATGATTTGATACAAGATGGAGTCAGATCCACGATGAACGGAATATGAACTCATGGCTTGGGTTTCTGGGAAACATGTTTTTGTGTCTCAAGAATCTCAAGAACGAACATTATCTCATTACCGCTTGTTATTCAAAATAAAGACCCGGCTTCAATCTTGCCAGGCGCATCTTACCGTGGAGTGTCAAGTAGTCCTTCTCTCTTTATGCACAGTGCGGCCGCACACGAAAGATCAAAAATCTTTGAAGAAGCTTCCATTTCATTCACTGAAACCCACGGAGTATCTTGTGCCTTTGGAAAGTGCTGGGAGAGGGGCATCCGCAGCTCCTGCTTTTACTGAGGAGCTACATTCTTTGACAGTAATATCGTCTTATACTGGACACCTCTCCCGAAGTCTTTCTTCCATCTTTACACACAGGACTCTAGCAGGTTCACTCCCCTCGAGCTCTTTGAACTGCAACATATGTGAGTACATTCTCAGATACATTGTTTCTCTTGAAAAGTACTTCAATCATCCAGAGACTGTCACAGGTCGGCTCAGTAGATCGGGAGGTGAGCGAACACAAACTGGCGTTCGCTCACCTCTTGATCCTGTCACGGCTCTCTGCTGTGACAGGGGAGGGGCTGGATTCCCCCCTCCAATCCGCCAGCGTTGAGTGCGGAACGGACGGGGGAGGGGGCGGGTACAGCTGGCTCTGCCTCTACATAGGCAGAGCCAGCTGTCAGTCACGCAGCTGGACGGATCCCGGCATAATTGTCGGGATCCGTTTCAGCTGTGCATCTCTGTATACCGCGAGCAGCAGCTCGCGGTATACTGCAGCGTCTCAGTATACCGCGATCTACAGCTCGCGGTATACTGAGCCTAGGGTGATGGGAGGACGCTAGTTTGTGTCCTCCCGTTACCCTAAGGAGAACTATGGGGAAAAGCCTTAACCACATAGTTCTCCTTTAAGCCAAAACAGGAAGATGTTGATTCATGGTTTGACGTCAATATATGCATTTCTTAGAAGCCATTAATTATCAATAGCCGGTCACGGTGACAGGTCACGGTGACCGTTACAGCTGGACTCTAACCCACTAACCTCATAATAAACTGTCATGTACTAATACATTTATTATTAGTTAGTTAGTTAGTTAGTTAGTTAGTTAGTTAGTTAGGGAAACTCCTACTCCCCTTTTGGATATGTGCCCGTATATAGCCTATATAAACTTTCCAAATCTGTATGTAAAATTGTCACACTATCATCCTATCTGAAGTGTGAAGCAATGTGTAGTGTACCCTGCAATAAACCAATACACAGATTGTATATTGGAAGAGAGTCTGATGCCATTTATTCAAAGGCTAACTTATCAAAGGGCATTGATCTCTGTGTAGCAGCAGTGGTCTCTCTGCAGAGATGTGACATGCCCCTTACTGAGTCAGACCAGGAGCTTTCTATCAAGCAGAAACCGTGAGAACTGAGCTATTGGGAAACCGTACTGTATGACTTTGCAAATCTTTTTCATGCACCTGAAATATGTTTAGTTGATTTAAACTTAAAGAACAATGGTGATGTCTAATTTTAAATACGCTTTATCCTTCTAACCATTCAAATCCATCTTCCTCTAACTTTTTCTTTAGTACCATGACCACTGGGTCCTCTCCAAATCTTTCCAAGAATCTATGTATCCAATTCACAATAAGTTGAACCCAAGTACATGAAAGAAAACACCCTGTTCAAAATTCTTGGTATTAAAGACTACCTTATCCTTCTGTCTACTAATAGTGTCCCAAACCACCAAAACATTGCAAACCTTTCTAGCATTGCAATCACTGAACTAATATTCCCATTTCCATTAAAGCATTCAACACTCTTGTTGCTAGGGAACATACCCTGCTAGAGGAGTGCTACCATTACGCAATAGTGCAAAAATTATGCACACTTGGCTGATATTGGTGATGTCATCAAGTGTGCGTAATTTTTAGGGTGTGTGAGTTCAGCAGTAGTCTTCCTGATGCTCTTCCTCTTACCTCCTTTTTATTGTAACCTAGCTACCTACCTTGGCATCCTTTACTATCTATTTCTGCACACCTCAGCAGTCGCCCCAGTCAGTACCTATTCCATTAGCGAGAATAAATGAACTGCCATTGCTGACCCCACCTTCTGAATATGTTAGTTGTCTGGCTGTCATGGTGATTTACTGGCAATAATACTTTAAGAGTATATATATACTGGAATAAGTATACAGATCATGAGTTCAGACTTCATCCTAGCTTTGTAATCTAAATAATTGTTCCAGAATAGTGACCCTGAAAGAATTGATGTCACAGGCAGTCAGACAACTAATATTCTTAGGATGTGTAGCTACCCTGCCCTAAGCAGGACTGATTACTCTTGCTTCTGCCTGGTGATGGGGGGTTTCTCTGGCAAAAGTGTGGGGGCTGCAATTATCAGAGTTATATATATTTAAATCTCCAGGTCAACCACTAGGAGGTTTATTGCTAGTGGTGAAGGCTAGGAGAGGGTATACATATTTGGGAGTGACCTTGGAAAGTCAGTCTTCCACTGGACCTCCTGTCTGGGGGGGAACGGGGAGAATGCAGTTGTATGTCTAATCCTCATAGGCCTTTTGTCTTAGCACAGTGGCCATTGAGGTTTGAGAACTTGTATGTTAAGCCAGGGAACTGAGATACTATGGAGGAACCTCAGCCTAATATAGGTGTCTGAGAAGCAAGGCCGAAGCTTGGTCTCTGACTATATCTGTAAGCACAGTAAGTACTTTTTGTCTTTATTTTCTAGAGTCTACCAGATCCATGAGTGTCCCTCTGTCCCTGGAGTGTTGAGTGAGAGTCAATATACCCCTTGAAGATGTCCTGTGTGACGAAACTCGTCGGGGCGGGCCTATCCTACGTCACATCAGTAGAGATATTGCGGAAGCGAGCACGGACGCTTACGAGACACCGGCCGCTTTTATTAGGATATGTAAGACTTTTTATGTAAGTGTTTATGTGTTTTACCAATAAACGTTTGCAAACTTATCACACTATGAGGAGTTCTTTTTCATTTCTTAACATATGGAAATCAACGTTTGATAAGCTTCTGGAGTGAACGATCTGACTTAACACCTGCTTCAGTTACCCACAAAGTGAAATAAAGATTTTTATGCGGTGAGTGTGCACTGCCCAGGGGGGCTTCGTATGTGGCACAAGAGGATCACTTCAAGCACTTGGCACTTTACAATGGGTAATGGACATTTATTAATTGAAAGTAGGATTTTTTTTTCCTCACCTATAAGTTGCTGATTTTGGTCAGCATTTGTCACTAATATTTCACTGGACAGCTATATTTGGAACTTTATCCATCAAGATTGTAACTTTATTATCAAAATTAATTTTTTTGGGCACATGGAATTACTATTCACTTATAACTGCAATATGAGTTTCCAGCTTGCACTGTGATATACGCACTATTTAATTTCACTGATTTTATTATAGAAGTTATCTATATTAATTGTGTTTATTCTCAATTAACACCTTTTTTGGGGGGACACAACAATCACCAACAGATCTTGTTGTGGCATATTATGTTATAATATCATAGGAGTTATATATAGGTTTTAGGCACAATAGGGGTTTTTTTTAGCGCTGCAAAATCATTTTCTTAATATACTCCTTGTTTGCATTTAAAAGTGACTGGCACCCATCTGTTCACAAATGGACCAGATGCTGAGGTAAAATTCTATTCCACTATGCTTCTGGGGTTCACCATATGCCCTTAAGAAGCATAGGGGTGTTACATTGGCCAACAATGGCAGCCTCCACTATTCCCATTATTTTCAAAGCTTTTTAATGCTGCGAGTTGTTAATTCAGATACATTTATGTCATCAACAAATGTCATATTCACACTCAAACACCTGTTCAAAGGCCTCCTACCCCAGTAGCTTAAACATACCTTCCTTAGGGTGCCCACACACCTTACGATAATCGTACGATAATAGCGGGAAATCCCGCGTTCGTGCGATTATCGTAAGGTGTGTGGAAGCCGTGTGACCTCTACTACTGTAAGGTCGCACGACTTTAAACTTACGGACATGTTCGAAAACCCGCCGAGCATCGTACTATGTTCGGCGGGTTTGTGGCATGTCCGTACGATGACAGCCGTACGGGCCGGTGTGCGCAAGTGCACACTGCCCGTTCGGCATTGCGGTCATCGGAAGCCCGCCCGTCAGGGGGCGTGGTTTGCGATTATCGCAAGTACGATCTGCCTATGCAACATAGGCAGATCGTACGTTTTTTTAAGTACCTTACAACCATCGCAAGACAAAAGTCTTGCGATGGTTTTAAGGTGTGTGCCCAGCCTTAAGCTTCACTCTTGCTCCATTTAGCCACCAGAAGCTAGAAATTAAGCACTGCATAATCTCCAAGATGCTTTAGTCAGGGCTTATTCAGAGCTGCAGACTGTCTTCCCGCTCACACATGATGCTCACATAGCAGTACAGGGTATATTTTTATTCACCAGCGGACATAGCTTTTTAAAAAAATCTGGAAATAATTGCTAGTAATTTGATGTTTACATTATTAAATGCTTACCAATCCATATTCTGACCTTTTCTGCAGTCATGCAGTGGCTACAATACTTTGTAAGTTACTAACTATGCGGAAGTAATCAGAAAATATACTTTGCTTTCACTTTAAAGGTGAAGTCCACTTTTGGCAAAAAAAATTATAAATGTACACTTTTTTATGAAAAGAAAAAATGCACATTTTATTTTGTTTTCAATCTGAGCCAGTATGTCAGGTAGCCTGAGTAGTTCTAGCAGCCTGTATTGCTGACTGCAGCCTTGACTGATGTGAGTTAATTATCCTGTGTCTTGCTGGCTGCATCACTATTCTAGGCAGCTGTCTCCTGATTAATCTAACCACACACCTACTGCTCTGGGATTGGCCTTGTTTCTGGTGGTGCCCTATTAAAGCATCATCAGTCTGTGCTACCTCAAATACAGGTAACATTGATCTTTCATTCGGCAGATGAAAGTCTGGCCAATCTTAACCTCCCTGGCGGTATTCCCGAGTGTGGCTCGGGGTTAATTTTCAGTACCAAAAGCGGTAACCCCGAGCCACACTCGGGATTGCACAAAAGTGTCACTTACCTTGTCCCTGAGAGCCCACAGAATCCTCTGCTGTACACGGCCGGCCGATGCTGGTATTCGGCTTTCAGTTTCGTTTTCGGGCGTCACAGTGGGGGGCAGAGGCGGCGGGAAATTCAAAATTGAAAACATGACATTTACACAGAATACACTACAATGTAATCTGCTATAATTAAATTTTTGTATCAAACCATTTCACTTCAATTTCGTTCTTAGAGCTTTGTCCAGTGCCCTGCCTGAACTTTTACTGTTCTTCCTGCCTGGAAACTTGAGAACGTCCATGGCATCCAAAAAGCGTCCCTTTAAGTCAAAAGCGGTTTTAGACCAGGTAGAAAACAGCGATAGTAAATTAGAATCACTTGCAGAATTGAGTGATAGCGTTTTGTTGGGAAATTCGTCATCAGACACTGAAAGTGAAGACAGAGACGATTCTGCGACCAAGCTCAGTGATGTGCGAACTTGGTACTCTATTGACTGTGGTATGGATCAGGCACCCCCAGAATTCCCATTTACTGGACCATTTTTTTAACTATTATATTATAATTTTTTATCATTAATTATATTATAATTTCTTATAATTATTTATAATTATTGTATTATAATTTATGATTTCGTATTTCAAACTTTATCATACCCGGGATGTCTACTGGACTCTTGTTTGGACAGATTTAGGTGAGTTATTCCTAAGATTTACTAAGAATTACAGGCCTACAATATAAAACAACAAATTGCCATGAAAAACAATGTACCGCTATGGCATGCTAAAATCATGCATAATCATACCGCCAGGCCAACAGGTTTTCAAGATCATTCTAGAGCAATGGAGTGGAGCCTCTAGCAAGTGGTATTCGATTGGATCCGTGCCCAGTGGGGGCCCCGCTTTAGTGATAAATAGTTGTTTGATCCTCTCCAGCCACTTGTCTCTGAAATTCCTGAGTTCCTCCAGAAAGACCTGGACATGGGGCCTCAGCCTCAACTCCCAAATGTGCAGACTTTAAAGGAGAACTATGGGGTTAAGGCTTTTCCCCATAGTTCTCCTTAAGGTAACGGGAGGACACAAACTAGCATCCTCCCGTCACCCTATGCTCAGTATACGGTGAGCTGCTGCTCACCGTATACTGAGACGCCGCAGCTGAAGCGGATCCCGACAATTATGTCTGGATCCGCCCAGCTGCATGACTGACAGCTGGCTCTGCCTATCTAGAGGCAGAGCCAGCTGGACCCGCCCCCTCCCTGTGCCCTTCCCCAGTCAGCGCTGGCGGTTTGGAGCGGGGAGGGGGGAATCCAGCCCCTCCCCTGTCACGGCAGAGAGCCGTGACAGGATCGAGAGGTGAGCAAACGCCGGTATGTGTTGGCTCACCTCCCGATCTACTAAGCCGACCTGTAATAGTCTCATTGTCACAGGTCGGCTAGAACTATGAGGTAAGTGAAAAGCACTCACCTCATAGTTCTCCTTTACCATCGCAGTCTCAATGTACCATTGGTAGGTGTGCGAATCATTAGCTGTATAGTTCTTGAGAGCTGTATTGAAGATCTGCCCTAGAAGAAAAAATATATTTTCCCAATGGGATCTTTCCTTAGTCCTCAGATACCTCTCTAAACATCCAGAGAGGTTAATTCCAGTTGAGGAGTGTGCCATCATGGACTTCACTCTGAAATTTGCTTTTTTAGTGGAAATCACCTCAGCCCTTAGAGTGTCAGAGTTACATGCTCTAGGGTATGAGCCACCCTACTTAGTCTTCACTCATTCAAACCTTATATTGAGACCAGTTTCAGACTTTGTTCTTAAAGCCACCTTCAAATATCAAATCAACCAAGACTGGTTATTTACCAGCCTTTAAAGATTAGTTAGAGCAGCCACATATGTCAGAGCTTGAAGTCTCTAGATCCATGAGAGTCTACATTCAAGCCACGAGTTCCTTCAGGTGTTCAAAGAGGCTGCACATTCCACCAAAGATGACTCATCTTCTTGGGCAGGTTATGGAGGTGTTTTAGCAGAAACTATCTACAGAGGAGGCACATGGTCCTCGTCTCATATGTTTATCTCTCATCACTGGTCCTTAAACTGTATGTGGTGTTAGAGAACAGTACAATTTGCATGAACAGCAACAGCTACACCATATTCTGGCATCACATATTTAGATGTGTAAGTAATTTTTTTAACTTTGACATTTAGCAAGACTTAAATACAGCTGCAGTACCCCAAATCTAATCCCTTTGTAGTTGAAAAAAAATGCTTTTTATAGGTAGTTTTGGCTACAACACCTGGTTTTCTATTAAGTAGTAATAGGCCCAAATTAAACAGTGGAAGCAGCAGTCAGGACAGAACTAAAGCTATAGTAAAGTATTCACCTTCATAGATAAAGCTAAAGACCTCAACTTCCTACAAATTGTCCAGTGGCAAAGCAGTTTAATAGTATAGTTTGCAAGCTGTATCAGGTACAGGTAAAGTTTAATATAATGTCAAATCAGTGTGCACAAAACACACAAGGCCACCTGTTTTAAAATAAACTTTAGACTGTATAATTTAAAAGACTATAGCCAAACAAATCCATTTAGTGGCTGTACAAAAAGTAAGCATATAAGTTAGGCTGCAATATAAGAGGGAGAAATTAAAAAGATATTATCTTAGGTAAAGCATTAGATTGTATTATCTGAAAGATAATAGCCTCAAACACTTTTGACCAACACTACAGGTCAAATAGAAAGCACTCTTGTGATATTGCCTATAAAACATTTCTGGGATGGACCCTCTTCCGCAGAGCTACCTGATACACCTATTACCTATATATAGCCCTCCCTCCTTAATCAGTGGATATCGATGGATAACTCCCCCAATAACAAACATAGCATATAAATGTGTACAAAAATATCACATTTCAAAACTCATATAAAATCGGTAGCAATTATAATAACAGCCATCCACGATATGGATGTAATTTCCCCAAACAGCCTTGTGGTTCATGAAAGACCTACTAAGCACTTTCTCAAAGTGCTGCATTCTGGGATGGTAGCAGTATATTGACCATTTTGCCCTTATATCAGGGATTTAAAAGGATGGCCACTGAATAGTGTTCCCTCATTTTGATGACCCAAAACCTGGGGTTCCTGCACATGCATCTGGCAATAAAAGACCCCGTTCAGCACAAATTGCCTGCAGCAGAGCGCCCCAAGTCCTTGGTATCACCGAGGACAGCATTGTGCTCTACAATTTAAATCCACCCATGTACAACTCCTGGGGTTTGGGGAAGAGTGAAATGCACCCTTGAAGCCTAATCTATTTCCTCCTCCCCCTTGGCACCCAGACCTACTCTCCTCCTTATATGCCATCTTTGCCTCCACTGACTTTGCCTCACAGGGAAGGAGGCAGTAGGCAACAAAATTGTGCTGCTCGTGAGAAAGCAGAAACTCCTTCTCCTCCTGCAGCCCATGATGTGGCCAGACTCCTAGTGGAATGAGCAGACACCCCACTTGGCACAGTTATGTGCTCGGCCTCATATGCTAACAATAGCACCTTCCCTATCCAGGATGCTATGAGCCTACTGTATGCTGTAGCATCCTTCCTGGCACCTGCCGGAACGATAGAGATGACCCGTAGACCTGAGCCCTTCCGTGGCCAAAATATACGCTTTTAGCCTATTACCTACGTCCAATCGGCTAATCTGGCTCCCATCATCTGACTTGAAGGTTGGTAATACAATTTCTTGGTGTATGTGAAAGTCAGTCACAACCTTGGGAATGAACCTCAGCATGGGAACTAGAATCACTCCATCTGCCAGGAAAGTGGTGAAGTGTTCTTTAAACCCAAGAGCGGCCAACTCCAAAACCCGCCTGGTGGAGGGGATAGCAACTAGAAAGGCAACGTTTAATGTGAGGACGAGTAGTACTGGGCTTCCTAGAATGAAGAAGACTATCGACTACCCTATCTGAGCAACCCAATGTGAGAAGTCTCTGCCTCTCAATATCCATGCTGCTAGGCAAAGTTTCACAGGTGCTGGGTGAAGGATTGGACCTTGAAAGAAGGTCGGGCAATGGCGGTAGGAATAGTGGAAAAAAAAGGAACGGCAAGCCAGGGGACTCTTTCAGCTTTTATGAGTTACGATTCTGATTAGGGGGAGGAGGGAGGGATTAACCCATTTGTGTGCTGCCATGGAGCTGACAGGAAAGAGGGTTGTGGAAAGCAAAGAATTATTAGTGCACACCTTTTACTGCCAACGTGTCTTAATGAAGGGCTGCTCCCACAGATCTGTGGCGGGGTCATGTGTTTCCTCATGTTTGTGATACCCAAATAGCTGTCACAGCTGATATGCTGCAGTCAGAAGCTACAGACCACAACAGTGCTGTTGGCAGCAGATACGTTAAAAAAAGCCCACACTGCACAGCTTTGTAGACTGGTTCCGGTGATAGCAGTTACATAGTTACATAGTTACATAGTATTTGAGGTTGAATAAAGACATATGTCCATCAAGTCCAACCCATTGTGTGTGTGTGTGGGTGTAAAGATCCTCGCGTCATCTCGTTTTTAGGAGTACTTGTACCCCTGTATATTACCGTTTCTCAGGAAATCGTCCAAAAGCCTCTTGAATGATTCCAGACTATTAGCTGAAATCACTGCTTGCGGCAGTGAGTTCCAGACCCTAACCGCGCGAACTGAGAAGAATCCCCTACGGCCCTTGTGTTTGAATTTTTTTTCTACCAGTTTTAGGTGGTGTCCTCTAGTCTTTGTTACGGAATTTATCGTGAAGAGTTTATTGCTAATGTTGCTATGACCTGTACCTTTGGGGAAATGCTGACCGATGGATTAGTTTGGCTTATGCTTTCAGTCCTCTGCAAGCTGTCGTTGGCCCCGGCCAAAATCCTCCCTTGCTCCTTTCTCTCTTAGAACTTTCCCCCTCTTTAATCAGTGGCAACCACGGTCAGTCTTCCACCTCAACCACCCTCTCCTCATCACTCACTTTGCAGTAGGCTGCAGCTGCTGGAACATCAGTGCCTTTTGCTTCTACATGCCTAATGCACTTCCCTTTATGGTTATCCAAAATAAGGAATGCGTGTGCACGACCAAGATCACCCTCCTGCAGCAAGTCCCCAATCAAGTAATCAAATAATACCACCAACTCCTCAATGTGGGCTTATGGTGGTATTAGTAGAAGAGAAAGAGGCAGAAGAGGATGCATTGACAGCAGTTTCAGACAAGTGACTGCTCTGCTTCTCAGAGGAGTAAGAAGGGAAAGGCTTTGGCACACTACATGACACACTCCTTAACCTGGCAAAATTAGATAGATTATAAAAATGCAGCACCAGCATTTTGGCTAGATGGCATTTAGTTGATACACAATGGCATGTGTATGTTTACTTTTGTCAATTCCTTTATGAAAGACTGGTGATAGCAGTATCCAGCAGGGGACGCTGGATGAGAGAGAGTAATATGTTGGCCTGATTGTGCTGTTGGTGGTAAGTCCAAGACCTTTTCCTCAGGTGTGCAATCATTACTTCATTACTACTGGAGAACATGCTGCTCCAAAGCAGAAATATGGGAGTAAGGTGAGGAAGAAGAAGATAGTGAGGCCTAATGGTTTTATATAGTGTATCTGTTGTTGTGTTTGTTGAGACATGCTGCCACAATTTACCTAATCAATTACAGCTTTCTCCTTTTTATCAAAAAATATACACCTGCTCACAAAACTTGAAATTATCATTTGCACTCGTGTGTTGTGTTTCTATACTGTTGAAGTACTTTTGTTGTTCACTTGTGCTAATTGGCAACTGAAGGAATTAGTCCTGGGTCTAAGAGGAGGCTAGAGATTCTGGCTCGCACAAAGTGATTTGCTTATACATATTCCTGGAACTTCTGCCAAACAAAACAGCCAGATATCTTCACTTTCCTCCACTGCAGATTATGCAATACAGATTGTTAACATATACAAAACCTCTCCACCCTGTTACACTCCTCTTGTCATCCTGTTCTTAGCATTAGTATTAGGGTTTTGCTGTATTAGGAAGTGTTATGTCTTCCAGGCTTGATTTAGAAAGAGTAGCATGTACATAAATATTGAAGCACTAATACTAATTTATTAGATGTGCAAAGAATAAAATTTAAATAAAGATTCAAGTGCATATACTAATATACTAGATGTATTTAAAAAGAGTAACTGTTTTGTTAAGAAAAAGAAAATCCCCTTAAAGTAAAATATATATTGTACATTGCAAGGACTTTAACAAACATTTTCTCAGATTTTTATATATATATATATATAT